TATATATATATAGATTAAAAGGCAAAATACTGAAAAACATTAGGAAACAATGGTTGGATCTCAGTAGACATACAAAAATGATAAGCAACAGCTAAAAAGTAAACGTAAGTAAACAGCCAGAAATAGAACCAGAGCTTTCGGACAACACTAGTCCTTCCTCAGTGGCGAGTGAGTGAGGGTAGAAAAAGATAGATGGTTTAAAGTGAGAATTTCATGCAAGCATGATTGGAAACAATAGGCTGGGTGAGAATAAACAGCCTAAACAAGTAAACAGGAAGGCCAAATAAACTTTAGAGGCAAGCCTCAATTAATAAGCCAAATGATTTAATCCAGAATAAATTGAAATTGCCATTGGTTTAATTTAGTGTACTGGGAGAACGTTCCAAATATTGAGTCCAAATAGTGTGGTTGTTTTAAGTAAAAGTTCTCAGTGATTCTCTTTAACTTTGCGATTTTTGTCGCTCCAATTGGCATTATGTTCAATTGAAATCACTCTGAAATTTGAAATTGAATGATTAGCTAAATTGAAATGTTCGGCTACTGGTTGATCAACCTTAGATGTTCTGATAGCTGATCTATGTTGTGTCATTCTCATAAGGAGAGTGTTTTTTATTTCTCCGAAATATTGTTTACCACAAGTATTACAATATATGAGATAAATGACATTTTTGGTGAGGCAATTAATTGATTGCCTTATCCGAAATACGTGGTTTGTCTGGTTGCTCTTGAATGATTGTGTAGAATTTAAGCAAGGAGCATGTTTTGCATGATGAACCACAAAGATGACTACCCAAATTACGGTTGTCGCAAGAGTTAGTTTGCCTCTTGAATTTAGATTGTACTAATATATCACGAAGGTTAGGTGGTCTGCGATAGGCTATGAACGGTGTATCCGGAAAAAAACAGACCTAAGACGTTTTGTGGTCTGTAGAATATGCATATGTTTCTGAATTATAGCCCTTAGTGGTTGTAACCTAGGGTGATAGGTAGTGATCAGTGGCACTCTGGTCGATCGTTGACGTGGTTTGTACGTCAGTGTGTTTGAGCACAAGGTATGTCCTTTGCTTTTTTATTTTTATAGCATTTTCAATATATATATATATATATATATATATATCAGGGGCGTAGTGGAGAAGGAATTAGGAGGTATTAGTTACCGAGCCCGGAGGGGATGGGGTTGTGAGGCGTTACACCTCCAGTAAGATCATTTTCACTAGTAGTAGCGTCTCTACAACTACAGAACAGGGGCAGATGCATGTGTCTCCAGGCTAACGTGAATATACCCCTAACTCTTAGATAAATAATAGAAACGATTCTGTGTTGTAGTCCTACTGCGCCAAATCTCCTAAGCCCTGGCTTTCCTAACCTAGTATTCTTTTTGTGTGCCTAAGCCTGTACCTTATAGGTCTGGCTCCTGGCGTAACTACTGTAGGCCCCTGGTCTAACTTAGCAGGACCCTGACCTAACTGAGGGCTCAATGTTGTTTTAACTGACAGATGTCAACGTCATATGCTTTCTCTTGTCATCAGGCGTAAATCCTTTAAAGTTGATCATACTCACCGTACCTTCCTGTTCGCTTCACAATTTTACGTGCGTTCGTTGTGCAGTTAATTACACTTTACTAAAAAAAAATAATCTATAAGCAAAACCTTCATTTCAGTCTTTTGTGATTTTTTTTATGCCTTTGTAATACTCAATATACATATATACATACATATATATATATATATATATATATATATATATATAAACCATCAAATGTTGACATATACAGTGTTTAAATAAGGACATGATGGAACATCGTAGGCTACCCTGTAGCTTTTCTACGAATAAATTCCTGTAAAAGTCATTGTGTAATAAAATGCCTCCGACGGGATTCGAACCTGCAACCTCTCGCTGACAAAGCGAGTGTCATAACCACTAGACCACGAAGGCTTCATGGTTGAACAGGTTCAATTAACCGTCTGGAACATTGTATTACACAAAGCTACGCCTCAAGAGGGCGTCCGGTCAAATAAATCTGGCAATACGGCTAGAATTACTGTCGTATATTATATATGATATTGAAGGGAGTTAGCCGTTAACACTGTCGAATAAATATAATATAAATCATCAACCTTTGATGATTTATATTACAATTATTCTTCAACAGTGTTAACTGCTAACTCCCTTCAATATAATATAATATAATATAATATATATATATATATATATATATAATATATATATATATATATATATGACTTGCGGTTGACTCAATGTCTCACTCGCGCTTGTGCAATTTGTTTCGAGCTCTTGTGCCAGGCCTGTTTAATGAAGTCACCAGGGTACCATGTCCCTCCTCCAAGCAGACAGACATTTATCATTCAGTGTCCAAATTCAAACTTAAATTATGAAAGGAGCCTTGAAATTTACAAATCACAAGATATGACATGTGTGGATTATACGTTAATAGTTAAAATTAACGATTTAATATTATATATATTCTGTTCACAAAATCTGTAAAAGTTTAAAGTTTCTGATCAGTCTCATTACATATTTTGGAAACGTTTCCATGTAGTTTTGTTAGCAGCAAGTAATTAGATGTCACCCAAGTTCCGTAGTTTTAGGCCAAGTTTTTGAAGGTCTTTGCAAAATACTCCAAGAAGGTTGGTTTTATTACGACCGCGTATACCTGGCTGGCAGCACCCATCAATTGCAAATGACAAAGCACATTATGCAGGTGATGTTTCTTCCATTCTAAGGATGTTAGCCAAACATTGACCATCGCGATTTTATAACACGCCCAGATAATTAGTTGAACCTCGGTAACTTTATAAAGATCTTGTTTCTGGATGACATTAGGCCATTTGATATTTAAATTGTGGCGAAGGTATCCTCTATTCTGCCCTCACATGGCAAAAGGGCAATTTGCTGTTTTGGAGATATTAGCAAAACGTGTAATTCGTCGGTCACATCACGAACTAACACAATCAGAGTAGATTGTGTTAGTTCGTGAAATCAAAAAAGCGCGTCAAAATACGTGCTGTTGTTGTTAAGGACTTTTTGTGTAGTAAAGAATACAAAATTGCTTGACAACCAATACGCGCTCGTTTTGACGCGCTACTGTGATTTCACGAACTAACACAATCTACTTTGATTGTGTTAGTTCGTGATGTGAGCGACGAATTTATTTAGCCTTAAAATGTGTTTTAGTATTTGATTTCATGGTTAATGTATTCAAATTGACAAGTAATGTCTCTTCCAGTTTAGCACACATTTTTTCTATAAATACTGATTTTTACGCTCAAATTATCAGTTATGCTCTTTTGTCGTGGGTTTTCTGATTCAAGACTAGGATATAAGTACACAGTTTAGTTCCTTTCAACGCAATTTTAAGTCAGATTATTTAAAAATAACATTCAATGTATAATTTCATATGTTAGTCATGCATAAACTATCAAATAAATGTACAATAATACCAAGAAACGCATTAAATAATACATTCTAAAATTATAAACGATTTAAAACCCATGTATAGGCTAACCAAGTATACAAAAGAGAAAGAGAGTTAATAATAGTATGCTGTTATGTATCAACAACAAAGCCTTTTTACACAAGGTGCTAGATCAAGGACCCTGCGGGCCCTGAGAGGCCTAAGGAACCCATAAGGGTCTGGGGGCCCAGCACAAGAGCGCATAGGCGTTACGTCACTGCGTGAAGGATGCATGCGTATGTGTATGTGAAAAAAAAATGTTAGAATGCGCGTGTGACTGTTTCTATGTGTACGTTGAACAAGCATTACAATTATTTTATATACATTGGTTTTTAATTTTATTTACAAAGTAATATAATAAAAAATATATTTTAAGTCATATAATTACAATATAAATTAGGCCTATTATTATTTTTTGTAGCATTTTCTTCTCTATGATCCAAATTCAAGTAATAAGAAAATGATTCCGAATATTATTGTTTTTTTTTTATATATTCCAATAAATTATTTAGAAAATGTATTATATATTTAGATTTAGAAATAAATTGTCGTTTGATTAGTGAACACAGTTGATTCGAGTAAACTGTGCAGTTATACCTTTTTGCCATGTTATTTGCTATAAATAAACGAAGTAGAAGTGCCTTTTTGCTATGGTTATTTGCTGAATAAATGTTGTAGTTGTGCCACTTTGCCATAGTTATTTGCTAAATAATTATTTTGTTGTCCCTCTTTGTCACTGTTATTTCTAGTTAAAATGTGAATTGTTATTTTGCCATGGTTAAATATTTTTATTAAACAGTTATTTGCCATAGATTTATTTTCTTAGTATTTAACTGTATGTCATTTAAAGTAAGCCAAGATTATACATATAGTATAAATTAGCTAGACTTATCATGTTTGCCTAACATTAACTATACATATGCTACTGTCTATTTACGAAATTTCTATTTACAAACTGTGAGTACACAAACAGTAGGAATAATAAAAATAATAAAACTTAACAAGCAACCTTCATTTTAGCCTGGGAGAAAGCTCTTTTCTGATTGGTTAGCTGTTGAACGTCACGCTTCAGGGTGTCACAGCCTATCTTTGTAGTTATGCCCTTTTGCCTTGGGAATTTACTGAAAATTGTGTAGATATGCCATACCCCTACCTAGCCCGGGGACACTTTTTTAAATTTTGTTTTGTGTCCACATGTTACTTACCCAACTAGGCTATATAACTCAATTTCGCCAAAAAATGTCAGTTATGCCCTTTTGCTATGAGGGGGGGGGGGCAGTATTTGCAATGTCAAGATCATCTAATATACTGCTAGGGACAGACCAGCTGTTGCAGTTATATAGCATGACAAAAACGGCCTGGGCTTCACAGACTATAAGATGTCTCTTGAGTGAAATACATCTTCGACGGTTCCAAACTTTTTTGAATCGCAAAAAAGCAACGTTTCCAAGAATGATGCGTTGTTTAACATGGACGATAGAATCTAAAAAAAAAGATCTTAGCAGCTTACTTGAGTGCTATGCTTCGTTGTCTTTTATGGTGTTACCACTAATCAAGGGGCCTGAGCTTTGGACCATGTGGTTTGGAGAGTCAGAAGCTGATGGTGGAAAACAAAATCGGTTTACCAAGTTGTTCGAGAATTATCATTGCCGAATCTTCTAATTCAGTAAAGTTGATGCTTTGATGGATATACATCGCGACACCACCGCCGTTACTATTTCTATCCTTCCTTATCAGGACATAATTAGGAATATCAAGTTGACTGGAACATATTATGCTACTAAGCTTAGTTTCTTGTAAAGAAAATATATGAACTGGTCCGTTGTGTAACATGATTCTAGCATCAACAACTTTGTCAAGTAAGCTATTAATATTCAGATCTGCAATTTTTAAGCCGTGCTGATGACGAATAATATAAAATTTACCCCTGTGCCTGATTGGTCTTCTACAGAGGGTCCAGGGTTCATCTCGATATCATCTGAGAGTGCAAATAAGTTGAAAGTAGCAGTATAGTTTGCATAATATAATATAGAATTACCATGAAAACGACATTTTGTTTGTACTTTGAAAAATACGGTGTAATGATAGCACTGCTGACATAATGTTTACAAAGTTCGTTAAAGGTCAAGAACGTTGTGCAAAAAACTAAATCCGCGGCAGCGAATTCCGTAAATATGTTGCGATCATATGACGTGACAAAATTAACACACAATCTGGATTGAAAATATACTGGTAAAATATACATGCTTTTCCATTAAAGTTGCTACAATCATTCGTGGACACCACAAAAAGTCGGAACAACTGCCATGGTTGGGGCTGATGTGGGGCGCGAAAGTAAAGTGTGGTGGGAGGGGGGCCCGATGATTAGATGAGGGACGCTACTTCGCAAAATATGGTTATTTTAGGTGATTTTTAACTACTTGATCGTGATTTTTTGGGGGATGGACTGCTGGGGGCGCGAGTATTTTTTTGTTTGGCGCCCCTGCGCCCTCCGCCCTAGATACACCACCGTTCAGTATATTGATTTATTAGTGGTCCAATCCGATGTAAGTTGATAAGAGATAGGATATTCCTAGCTGAATTGGATAATGTAATTGGCCGTAGGTTTTTTAATGGCTCTTTTTTTTTTTGGGTGGGTTGGGGGGTGGAGTTTCAAAGGGGTAATAATACCTTCGCCGATACAATTCAAATATACGTTGTTTTCAAAGCAAGTGTTAATTATGTCTGCATATTTTTCATCAAAAAGACAGATCCAGCATATTTCAGTAGCTCATTTGGTATTGATTCTGGTCCAGTAGCACGTTCATTGTTAATACAACTAGCAGCCTTTTCAACTTCATATGACGTAATGGGAAAGATGGGATTGACTATCAAATGGATTCAAAACCGCTTCACCTTCCCTGTTGAATTGCTTAGAAAACCAATTACGTATCACATTTGCTTTTGCTGCACTTGAAACGATGTTTTTGCCATCTTTAAAATGTACATAGACATTTGTTGATTTTACCAAATTTGCTGACATGCGAACAGCTTCAAACATCCGGCGGCTTTCAGCAGATGATGTTACAATATGACCAATGTTTTTAGCTCTTGTTTCCTCAAGATTTTTAAGTCGCTTTTCACTCAGATTTTTGGCTGAGTTTATTTTCCGAAGCACATTTATGTTATATTAAGTACATTTGAGCAAGCACAGATTTCCTTAGGCAATTCATACATTTCTTGATCTCATCATTGCAGTTGATGTTATCAGAAGGTACTTTGTTACTAATCGATTTTGTTACAAGGAATTGATAATTCTTTTGCGATTCCTTGCAAGATGACAAACCGGCGCAATTGAGCTTTAACATTTTGGAGGTGGGTTTAAATGCGAGAACGATGTGCTGCTGCTGCTGCTGCTACTGCTGCTGCCGATGCTGCTGCTGCCGCTACCGCTGCTGCCGCTGCCGCTGCCGCCGCCGCTGCCGCTGCTACTGCTGCCGCTGCCGCCACCGCCGCTGCTGATAATTATTATTATTATCATTAATATTATTACAATAATAATAATAATAATAATAATAATAATAATAATTATTATTATTATTATTATTATTATCATTATTATTACAATAATAATAATAAT